GGCTTCTGCGGTATAAAGAACAAAGATAGTGAAGATATGAAGCTATTTATTATATGGAAGTATGTCTTGCATAAAGGAGCTACGTTTCTGTCTGTATTTATAGCCATTTGATGTAACAATGGTGAGGAGATTATCAACTTTGGTGAACACAAAAGCTTATAAGCGTTCTTTGCGACTTGATGAATTGACTGAATGATCAGTCGAACGCCTGTCACCGTCTCAGTAACTCTGCTCCGTACAACATGGATTACAACTATCATGTTACATAAATGAATTTACAGTCTAATCTGAAGCTTTCATGGCGACTAAGTATAATGAATTCTTCTCGGGCTACCTTACTTTCATTATGAATACACAGTCGGTGGTCCCTTTACGAAAATTCGCCTTACTAAATTTCGCACGTACGAACTTTTATAATGAAGAGTACACCATCCGCTTGGCTCGTCATCCGAACGCAAACTCCCTCATACGAAATCTTCCGAAAAAAATTGGGAGCACTTGCTAATTAAATCACAGAGACGCAACGTCGACCAGACAGTGAAACACAGAGAAGTAAGTTCGTGAGTCAGTTCGCCTTAAGCTCTGCTTTGGCGTGTATCTCGTAAATACATTTTGTTTCTTTTTTCAACTGTTTTGGGATTTAACCCCAAATTAATCATGGCTGATACGAGTAAACGTTCTACCAACAGCGATGCTGCTTACAAAACGTATTTATCATTTTTTTATTTTTATAATATTAAATAATATAATGTTATTTCCTTTCCCTTCACACAACAGAACTGTTGATTTATATTTTTTCAGTAATTTTTCGGTCTTTAGGGAACGTAATATTCAAATATAACATTGTGCTTGTAGGAAGTAGCGAATCACTTTTGAGAGCTCTCCCCAGGAACGTATCTACAGACTCTCATACAAAGATTTATTCACACATTCAATAAATGATGACATTTTAATAAATTAAATCATTATATACATTAGCATTGACACTTTGTGGATTAAATAATCTAGTGTCGGTGTTGAAAGTGACAACCGTTAGCTTGGTGGCACAGTTGACAAGCAGCCACCAAAGTAGTTGTTATGTATACATATTTTTGTATATGTAAGAATGGGGCCTCCCGGTATTTGTAACTTCAGTGAAACAGGATGATAATCTTCCACCTTTCCATCGCTTCAACAAAGGTTCGCTACGTTTTCACATAACACAGGGAAAGGTCGTACTCTATAAATTAATGTCAAGCTGACATTTAACTATAGGGCATCGTCGCGTCTAAACGTAATATTCAGGATCTGAAATTGGTCTTCTAGCAACCGCTACAGTCATTGCGAATAAAGGGCTATCCTGACATTCAGCCCCGAAACCAGCACGGATCATAAAACTGTGAAAAAAATAAATAAATAAACTCTACATGATATCAACATATCATGTAATTTCAAATCCTGTTACCATGTTCAACAGCATTATATTTCCGAATATCGAGGGCGCGTTTTGATTCAGTTCGTCCAGTAGTTCCGTAATGATAATAATTACATACACACTCAAAATTAATGAAAGATAATCATAAATCTAGCGAACAGTTTCACAGAGGCAAAGTAACCAGAAGTGAGTACTGGAGCACCATTTGACACCCTGTTTTCATCTTCACCCGCCCAACTGTCAGATAGAAATACCAGATGACTCAAACGTCACAACTAATTTAACGAGACCGACTCAGACTTCTTATGCTCTGAATTTCTGACCCAGAGTTTTGCTCCGAGGCAACCTTCAGTCAAGCGTCCGTACTTTGTAGACCTACAGGTCGAATTGAATTAAACCTACAAATCATGATGTGAGAATTCAACATAGAGCCATCCTAAACATGTCTGATAGCTAGCTCCAAGACACAGAGTGCGTCTAGAGAGAGCGACGTTACACTCAGCTAGTCAGAAAATTCCTAGTCTTGAAGGTACATTATCGTGTTTACAAAAGACCACCATCGTTCGGAATCCCAAGCCAGACTAATCTAGTTCACACCCTCCCACACAATATCCTAAGATGCATTTTAATATTATCCTTGCATATAATCTTAAGTCTTCCCTACAGATGTTAAACTTCATTTCTGAAGAAGACAGCCTTCTGGAATATTGCGCCGTGTAATCTTGTAGAAGTCGGCAGACGTTTCGGAGGTGCATAGTGCCTAAACCCTCACTCATCGCCTTGATAAGCGTAGATCGAGTTCTAGTTTATTTTATTACATTATTTATGTTCGCTCGTAATTTATTAAATCCATCCATCCTCTTTTCTGTATAATAATTAAGGATGATTAACACTTCACACAAGAAACTGGCTTTAGTTAAGTAATAACTCAATTAGTACTCTAGACTATAATTTGATCGCAGTAATAGTTGTTATCTGGACGAGTCGAATCTAACACTCAGATAACAAATATTAAAATGAGGCGTGTAATTTCTGCTGAACACCTTTTCACTAATCACTGGGTAAAATATGTGTGATATCTCTATTTTCAGGTGTCATGAATGAGCTACTACCCAAACCCAACTAATTAAGACCTATTATTAATTCTATAGCATATACACGTTTCGAAAACATGAAAAGATTGGAAATGTCTGGTCTTAGAACAACATTATAATATGAAAGAAACGCAATGCCCTTTGAAGTATAAGCTCGTATAAATAATATTTATGAATACAGCCCGCACCGCAAAGTAAACACCAAACTTCAACGTTACAAAGAGCAGTTGGT